ACCATGTGAGATGCTAACCCACAACTCCATGTGAAGAGCTTTCACTAATGTTCATTACATTGCAGTGTGTCAAAATTTAGTAGGAGGTTTTTTTGATTTTCGATTTCTAGATTTTTAACTTAAAAAGTTGAAAGAATAATACAATAAACATTTTAAACCCTTCACGTAGATCATCAATTGTCAATAATCGGTTATTTTGTTCTTTCACCATGTAAATAGCGCATGTGTGTGTACACATGTACATACCTCACACATGCACATAGTAAATATAGGTATACATATTTTTTCAGAAACAATTAGAAATAAGCTGCAGATGTGGTGACAGTTCCTCTTCAAATATCTCAACAGGTAACTCAGGAGAAAAAGGACATTTTCCTACATAATCATGTTATCATTACCCTATGTAAGGAAATCAGCTCTGACCCAAGGAAATCGCCTGGTATGCAGTCCCTGTTCATACTCCCCAAATGTCTTCTGTAGCATTTCTTTCAGATCAACAGTGTTGTCATTTCATGTCTTGTTTTTGCCATTTTTTTGGGGGGGGGTTGTTTTTTGAGATATCGTCCCCTTAAGTTGCCTGAGCTGTCCTCAAACTCCTGGGCTCCAGTGATTCTCTCACCTTCCCAGTGCTAGGACTCCAGGTGTACCCCACATGCCCAGCGCTCCCTGCCTTTTTAAATGTTGTTTTTGTTGTCCATGACATTGAACACTTAGTGGAGTCCAAGGCCACTGCTTGAGAATACCCCGCTCTGTGGGTAAGTATGATGCCCTCGTGCTCAGATCTGAGTTCAGGGTCTGGGCATGAGCCCTGCCCAGGGGAAGTGCCCCCCCGCATTGTGTCACTTCAGGAGCTCAGAAGGCCTGGGCTTCACTGCGCTAGACTGCAGTGAGGACCACCAGGTGCCTCACTGGGAAGGTGTGCTTGTCTCCTGTGATAACAGTCACCTGTGGGTGGTGCTTGTAGTTCCGTCCTCTCAAAGTAGTCATGTCAGGAAAAGGGGTGGGGGGAGTAAAGGACAGTGGAAAAAAGCCAAAGGGGAAGTAAGGGAGGGTTAGTTGCAAGGGGTATGGCAGTCTTAAGGGGAGAGGGAAAACACACATGTCACATTCAGAATTATATCAGAGCTTCACTTAAACGGTGTGGGAAAGAAGACGTGTGAAGCTAGGGAGGTGTGACTGAGAGCTGAGAGCAGACTGGGGTCGCTCTACCACTTCATTGGATGCTGATCCTCATTTAGGTTCCATGGCAGAACAATAAACCCCAACAGTAATCTCTGAATTAGCATTGTTGACATTCCCACCTAGTTAATTTTCCTACTTCTTAATTAGGCCTTTATTTTAGATGTGTCTCTTTATTTTAATCATATCCAATTATATGTAATTGCATGTTCTTACTTCATTATGGCCATGAGCAGAAAACACTTTGCTGAAACAGTGTGCTGACTTCCCGGCATTCTGCCTGCTCCTCTTCCCAGGGTGTGCACGGAAGCTGTATTCTCACCTGCTTGTTTCCCCCTCTGGATGGGCCTGCAGTGCAACTTCTTAGACACTGCTCCTCTGAGAGATGTCCTCTTGAAATTGAGTGAGGTTTTAAGACTGTTTATATCAATGGAAGACAGTGGAAAGGACATCATGTGACATCCCAGTCTAGGTCATGAAAGGTAATACAGCTTCCACTTTGCTCTGGGGAAATACTCTTTTGACACCTTCTTCTGCCATGAACGCATCCTAACTGTCCCAAGGCTGCCACATCAGCAGGAATGTCAAACAGCTTCCAATGAGACCACAGGGAGAGGCCCACAGGAGCGAGAGGGAGTGGAGAAACAGAGATGTCTGGCCAGTTCCCATCCTCTCCCATTCCAGTTCTCTCTGCCAGCTTAGGATGTTGTTCTAAGCAACTGCGTTTGGGGTGTTTTTATGTAGTGGTGCCAACAGTTCCTCTTCCTTCCACTTTGTCACTTCCTTCTGAGGTGTCAGGACACCATTCTTTTGCTTAGTGTCACAAAATGAAGTGATTCAGTGGTTGAAACGCAAGAGCCAGACATTGGAGTGCAGCTATGAGAGTGTAGTATCTGAACACAGACCCACGGATCCTATCTTTGTCCCTACGACTTTCCTCTTTTTGCTGAGGGTAATGACACTTTAGCCCTGCGTTGCTTAGTTAAGAAAGGCTGTCTTCTCCCAATACCCACAGTTCAGGATCTTAACAGGCAGAATCTGTGCAAATTAAGTAATTTAAACTGGTGGGTCAGCAAGGGTCTGGGCCTTGGACTAGAGAAGCAGTGCCCTGGTGTTCTGCCTCACCGTTTGGTTTTGGAGGTGAGAAATGGTGGTGGCCTGAACTAAGCTAGTGGCCTTGGACTTGGAGAGAATGGGAAGAATTCAAGACATATTAGAAGACAGAATCAACCACTTGGTGACCGAATTGCTTGTGAGGTGTAGGAGTGGGTACAAGAAAGACCTGGCCTGAGTTTGTCAGGTGTGTTACAGCTGCCCCCGTCAATACACGGCAAAGCAGGCAGAGGACAGCTGCTCTTCAACGGAACACCCAGGCAGTGTCTTCCCCACCTTAGACTTCTGTGACTCTTGGAAATTGTCAACCTTTCTTCAAACTACCTTCAAATGGCCTCGGTTTCTACAAACTATGCAAGACCTGGCAGGAAAACACAAAGCCAGGAGAGTAAATGGGCATTTCAAGTGCTTGCACTTCTTTTGTTCCCTATCTCTTGGGAGTGTTAGTCTTTCCAAATTACCTATAACTCCTCAAAGACAAGGTTCATGTCACATCTATTGTTTCCATTCCCTGAAGTAACCCTAACGGGCACTTAATAAAGGTTAGTTGATTATTTGATAAAATTGCTTTTTGATGATTACATATCGATACCATTATATCTCACAGAATGGTGATGATTATAAGGCATTAAGCTCTTTATGTGAAATATAAGTGACATATTCTTTTTTGGGTTATCAGAATCTTCCAAGACCCTTGTGCCCAGGCAGCTTGGATAAGTATTTGACCACAGTTTGGTTGTGTTATTTTGATAGAATGCGACCTATTCCATTACAGTTGAGTCCACTGCCATCTGCTGTTGACATGGTAAAGTGCCCTCCATTCTCTGCTCATCCTCTATTAACCGCTGAATTTTTGTTTTCCTCAGCACTCAAAGGCTTTCCATGCTTTGAGCTTCAACTCACGGTAGGTGTGATTTTCTAATAGCTTCTGGTGTTTTAATGTAATAGCTCAGCAGATATTGACAATTCTCTCTCATGGACAAAAGAGTTACGGCTTTGTAGAATTTGAAACATTTTTTAACTTAAAGGCATCATGCTATTTTCATAAGCTATGTTCAGGAAAACTAAAAGCCCATATTCAAGAGAGTCAATTCTACTCATCCTTCAAGTTCTTACTTCCAAATGATACTCTTTCTGTAAAACTTTCCCTAATTTTTATCATTTATTTATTTATTTATTATATTGGGGATTGAACCCAGGGGCACTTAACCTCTGAGCCACATTCCCAGCCCTTCTTTATTTTGAGACAGTCTCTCTAGCTGCTCGCATCACCAGAGTGGGCCACCAGACCTGGCTCCCAGATTCTTTATTCTGAAAGAAATTCTCCCTTTCACAACTGGTAATTGTTATGAAGGACCAAGTTTAAAAAAAATAGCTTCCTAAATAATTTCCCTCACCACCCCTTCTCTGTTGGTTCTTTTCTTTCTTAGAGAAATAATTTAAATTGGACACTCAAGAGTAACTGTGTTATACAGTGCTTAGCTTTGAGAACATTATAGGAAGGACTAAAGCAGGGACAAGTGTTGGGTAAGCAGATGAGGTCATGTTATCTTTGAATACTCTTTGAGACTTTGGCCAACTCACTGTTCCTAGGACTACATGGTGAGGCTTCAAAGGCTATAGAGTAGAAGCAGACAAGGACTCAAAATATACTTTCCATTTTAGAATAACAAGTCGGTTTAAAGGGAGAGGGAGGAGAACAAGCGAGAATAAATTACATAATTTAATTCGATTTAGGTGTCCAGCTGCAGTTCGGCTCGATTGCACCTAGCGGAGAGGCCATGGGTGGCGACCAATGCCTTGCATTTCGTAGCTCTAGATGGGATCGGGGCTCCGCGCAGAATGACCAGGTGGCCTCAGGCAAGTGGCCCGAGCTTCCTCCTAGGGTGCGAGGGAGTGTCTGCACCCACACCTAGGTCCCTCTCACAGCTATCTGTATGCCTCTTCTTGTTCGCGGTCATCACCGTGCGCGGAGCTCGGGGGCTGCGGCGGCTGCTTCTCCGCGGCCCCGGCGGTGCCGGACCGTCCACTAGACATCCTCACGGCAAATGCACGGGCTTCGTCACAGTCTTCGGCAGCCCAACGCTCCGAGGAGCCCTTGAGGGGGTACTATGCAAGTGGAGGGAAGCGGGACAGAACCTCTAGTCGTAGGCCCATCTTCCCAGGCCTCTTCTCTTAAGGAACGCACACAGAGGACGAGGAACGTGGCGGGAAGGCAGGAGAGCAAAGAAAATCTTTTCCCGCGTAGGAACGCAAATCTTCAGGTCTGGCTGTGTTTCCGGAGGCGTTTCTACCGGACCTAGGTGAGGACCATTTTTCCGGTTCTCACCCCTAAGTCTTCCGAGTTCTGACCTCCGTTACTTCCGCCCGGAGTCGCCGTAGGCTCGAGCTAGGAGTAGCTGCTTCCGCCAGGAGTCCCTAGCGGCACTCGCTAGGAAGCTGGTCCCAAAGAGGCCTTCTCCTTCTGTCCTCAGCCCCGGCGGCGGCTAAGTTGGGTGGCTGGGTGGCGGCAGCGCTCCCTGTGGCCGTGTCCCGGGCCTGGGTGACGGAGAAGTGCGGGAGGGCTTGGCCTGACTGCGGCCCGGGATTTCCGCGGCCAGCGCGGAGCCCGTAGGCCTCGCCGCGCCCACCGCTCCTGGGGCGGGGCGCGGCCTCCCCGCCCCGGACCCCGCCCCGCCGGCCAGCCCTGCGCCGGTCCTTCTCTCCAGCCCTGCGGCGGGGCAGCCGCCTCCAGGCCCTGGGCTCCGCCGGCGCCCGGCTCCGGCCGCTGGGGCAACATGGAGTTTGCGGAGCTGATTAAGACCCCGCGGGTGGACAACGTGGTGCTGCACCGGCCCTTCTATCCCGCGGTCGAGGGGACCCTGTGTCTGACGGGCCACCACCTCATCCTGTCCTCGCGGCAGGACAACACGGAGGAGCTGTGGCTCCTCCATTCAAACATCGACGCCATCGACAAGCGGTGAGTGGCCCTCGCGCCCCGTCCCCGCGGAGCCGGGGTCCTGCGGTGGGCGCCCGAGGAAACGCGGCGGGGCTTTCCTGGCACCGGCCGCCCCGCCAGCCGGCCCGCCTGCCCAGCGAGCCCTCGGTGGCCTAGGTTCAGAAAGCCCCATCCAGTGAGACCTGGTTTCTGTTGAACCTGGTGAAGGTCTCCGGAGATCACGTGGTTGCTGTCATCCTGATGATCATTTTTGGTACATAGCATCATTTGGATGGATTTTCAGTGTTTTAAATTTCTTTCTCCTTGCCCCATCACATTCCTTAGATCGTTGTCGAATGTCAGTTCATGAAATTGTGATTGGATAGGATTTAGATTAAAGTCTTCACTTTTTTTAAAAAAATATTTTTTAGTTGCCAAGACCCTTATTTTATTTATTTATATGTGGTGCTGAGAATCGAACCCAGTGCCTCACACATGCTAGGCAGGCGCTCTACCATGGAGCCACCACCCCAGCCCCAGTCTTCACCACTCTTGAGGAAAATTTAAAGAACTGAATATGAAGTATTGAGTAATTACATTCCACAAGCTCTTTTATTTCCCCCTTAAAATGTTCAGTTTATATTTTATTTCTTCTGGGTCATCATTTTAATAATGGGGGATTATAATGTCTCCTATGCATTTACTTTGTAAAGAGCAAGGTTGGCTATTAAGGAAAAGTATGAACTTATTAATCTCTCTCTCTCTCTTTTTGCACTACTTTTTATCTTTGCAAAGCATTGTTGAAAATCAAAGTTACACTTCCATCTACACTTAAATTTCCCATCTTCCTGATGTTCCTGTGTATTCTAGGAGAAGGCACACAATTTACACTGAATACATGAATGACAACACCTTTTGCGTAGTTCATGTTCTAGGCCTACCCCACTTTCCTTACACTTCTTTTTTGTTTGTTTTGTCTATTCTTTTTCATGAACCTTGTTTGCATTTTCTTTCATGACCCCTTTTTGTAGCCAGTCCTCAGGACTTTTTGTGGCTCATATAAATCCTGCATTCTCTTGTCTCTGTATTTTATTACCTTTTCCTTTGGAAGAATACTTTGCCCCTCCCCAAGTTTGTTAGACATTTATCAAATGCCTTTAGGTTCCAAATGTTTTGTGAGGTATTAAAGACACCAGGATGAATAGAATTGTAGTTCTTGTCTTTCAGAAGTTCATAGGCTTTCATCTGTTTCAGTTTAACCAGTTCGACTGCCACCTCCTTCACAGGTTCTGTTAATTCCATAATTGAAAGCAGTTCCCTGCCGCAGTCTGGCTGGGCACAAATGCCGCAGTCTGGCTGGGCACACAATCACGAGCCACCACACAGCTTGTAGATTCAAACAGCAACTCTTTATTCCCGAACTCACACCAGCCGTCTACAATCACGTTCTGGGGAAATCCACGTTCTCTGCCCAAATCCCCCTCACTGGGCTTCTATCTCCAAAATATACTGGGCTTCTATCTCCCAAAAAATACTGTCTGAATCCCGTGAGAACTCAAGGGGAACTCAGGCAGCAGGATACGCCCTATTCCCAGCAGGAATAATCTTAAACCTTAAACCTGGAACCTAAACTGGGAACGCCCTAAACACGATTATCTTAAAACCGGGAACACCCTAATCTGCCTTGGTCCTTGAGCAAGGTCACCTACATTCAATGTCGCTGCAACATGTCAGCAACATGGGGTACGCTGGCAAGGAAATTGTCATACCTACTTGGCTAATGGCTCCCAGCAGTTCCCCTCACCTTGAAATCCAATATCTCTTTAATTATCTCTTTTTTCATAGGCATTTATTCATATTTGCATTTTGATAGTTAGATACATATTAGCTTTTTGAAGCCAGGGCTCACATCTGATTATTTCCTTCAAAACTTGTAACCATGGCTTGGCCTGTAGGCACATAAGAAGTCAGATTGACCACTGAATGGTCATATTAGTAGTGTCTCCATGATCATCAACTCTCTTTTCGGATTGACTTCTATTTATGGTTTCTTTTCACTCATTTATTTTCCCATAGTAGCATTTATTGAGCTTTATCAGGTGATAAAGAAGTAGTATGTAAAGCTGGACTTTTTAATCTGTTATGGGAAAATGACAAACTGTAGACATATTGATCCTTTTCCTGGGAAGCAGCATGATGTAGTAGAAAGAGCATGATCATGGCCAGGTCAGAGTTTAATTGTTATTCTCAAGAAATATTTACTTTTGTGTATCTTTTACATGCTGAGCATTATCTGGGTTCTGCAGGTGCCATGGTGACTGATACTGACAGGAGCTTATGTTCTAGTGGAGGAGATGGACTACTACATAAATCAACAGATATTATATAAATCAATAGCCGGCATGGTGGCATGTGCCTGTAATAGCTTGTCATCTCAGCAATGTGGGATCTGAGGCAGGAGGATTGTAAGTTCAAGGCCAATCTTGGCAAATTAGTGAGGCCCTGACTCAGAAAATGCATTATTGAGGAGCAAAGATGGAAGCAGCAGATCCAGTTAGGAGATGACTGAGTAGTTGAGATAAAAGACGATGGTGACTTAGAATAGGTAGTTAGATTTGGGGTGTGTTTTGAAGGTTGCCCTACATGCCCTGCTGATGAACTGTAAATGGAGTGAGAAAGAGAAAGTCATTAAGAATGATTCCTTTGGTTTTACCTCATATTAGGTAGGTGTCCTTGGGCAAGATACTTCACTTCTCTGAACCTCAGTTTTGTCACTTAAAAAGAAGATAAGCCCTCTGATATCAGGTAGCAACTTACATTTGAATAATGCTTTGTAAGTCTCTAGAATACTTTGATGTACATTGCTGGCTTTTTCCTTTTATGGACCTCTGACGCAGAAAATTGAGATAATCCTACTGGATTGATGACTCATCATATTCATGATTGACTCAGTAAAGGTTTTGTTTTTTATTTTATTCTCCCTCCGTATTTTCACCCCCATTTCTCCCATCCTGCACAATTCCTGTAGGCAGCCATATTAGGTGTTCTGTAAGATAGCTAGCACTGTTGTGCATGGGTGTGTAGTTTACTTGATCCGCATTATACCAGAGATCTTGTTCTGTTTCTTAACGTTTTAACTCAGTATCCTTTTTCAGGATCTCTTCATACTGCTATATGTATATCTGCTTCACCGTTTCTGATGTTAACACTGAATTCCAAAGTACCTGAGACATTTTACTTTTCAGACCTTTTCCATAACTTCCAGCTCCTTGCTGTCACAACCCTGATGAATATCATGTCCCATCCTTTTCTTGTGCAAGAGTTTTTCTGAGATTGTGCTTAGTATGGAATTGACTATAAAGTGGGTACATATCTCATTGCTACTTTGCTCTCAAAATGACAGTTTGTAGGGGTTCCTTGTATGCTCTGTGGGTATTGATTCTCCAGTTAGTCACTGCAGACAGCTGTTCCTAGTTTGTCACTCAACTGTTAACTTTTCTGGTCTGTCCTTTGTTGAACCAAAGTTCTTAATTTTAATGCAAATTCATAAATTTTTTACTTTATGGTGTGTGCTTCATGAGTCTTAAGAACTCCTTCACTGTCTCAAAGTTACCACGGTGTTCTTCACATTTTCTTTTATAATGGCTCTTAGTTTTACCCTTCACTTGTAGGTCTGTATTTCATTTGAATTCTGCCTTTATTCCAAATGTGATAGGAACTCAACGCTTTTTCTTGCTTACACTGGTAAGCAAGCCAGTGTTCTTAACATTGTCTTCTGACACCAGTCATATATGAAGTTCTTATATTGTGTGTCTGTTTCTGAGCTCGCTCTCCCCTAATCTGTTGGCTTGTTAATCTTTTCATTACCATACTCTTTTTACTTCTATGGATTTATGATGAGTTAAAATCCAGTAGTGCTAGTTGCTCCTCTTCTTTTTCCTTCCCCCTTTCTCTTCCCCTCCTCCTCCTCCTCCTCCTCCTCCTCCTCCTCCTATTCCTTCCTCCTTTTCTTCTTCTGAGTTGTGGTCTTGTTGTATTGCTCAGATTGATCTGGAATTCCTGCACTAGGGTCATCCTTCTGCTTCTGTCTCCCAAGTAGCTGGAATTACAGATGTAAGTCACTGTGCTTAGCTTCCTCTTCTTTCTAAAAAGGTTGGCAACTGTGTGAACCTATCTAATAGACCATGTACTTTTTGAGATTTTGCCATTTTCATAGGATTTGAAGAAACTTTAGGCTGGTGACATAACTGTGGTAGAGCATGTGCTTAGCATGCATAAGGTTCTAGATTTGATCCCCAGCACCAAAACAAAAGACAGACAAAATTTTATTTAAAATAAGTGCAGGCTCACAGGGAAGTTGCAAAAATAGTGTACACAGGTCTGTTCTTGGCCCAGCTTCCCCCAATGGGGCTGTCTTATATAAATGTAGTATAATATCAAAACTAGGATATTGACCCTGGTGTTTTTATTGTTAACTAGACCACAGACTTTTTCCCACTTTTTACCAGTGGCTTTATCTAATGTTACAAAGTATAGTGGATGGCTACAGGAGTTAAAAATAATTGTTACTTTTGTAAACAAAAATGCTATGGGGCAGAGGCTATAGAAAAATTATTCAAACATGACTTACCTTAAAGAATTATTTTATATGTTTAATTCTTATAAGGTAAAAATAAACTAGTAAGTGTAATGAAGTATTTTAAGTGCTATGATAGGCATATATACAGGGCATGAATAGGACAATAGGAGAAAATAATAAAATAGGATAGAATTTGACAATTGATGTGAATTGAGGGAATTTTGGGGAACTCTTATACTTTAAAAAATTTTTTCTTGATACAGTAGTCTTCAGCAGTAACTGGTAGAAACATTAGATGAATGACTAAAGAATAATTGTTCATAGCTTTTTTTTTTTTTTTTTTTTTTGGTCCTGGGGATTTAACCCAGGGGTGTTTGCAATTGAGCTGCATCTGTAGCCCTTTCTATTTCTTATTTTGAGAAAGGTTCTTGCTAAGTTGCTTAGGGCCTCCCTAAATTTCTGA